GAAAATATCACTTTTTACTAAAAATGACAAAAATATTCACCAAAATTAGAGAATTGAAGATATCATCATGAAATGAACAAATCTGAGAGAGGTCTACCCAAGGTACATATACACCAAGTATCAAAGCATTCAGGCTTGTAGTTTTCAAGAAGAAGTCGAAAAAGTAAAACATTGACACGGACGACGACGGACAATCACTCATATGATAAGCTCCGCTCGACAAAGTCGACAGCGGAGCTAAAAAGTGACCATAGTGTAAATGCTAGTAAGAAGTGTCATTTATGACCAAAACTAAAACAATGAGGTTAACAGTTAACAAAATTAGTTTGAACAGGATCAGATAAACATTGTTCAAGTTATTATAACCACAAGAATAGGGCAATTTTAAATGACACTTTCACCAATATGGGGAAAAACTTACATGTAAAAGTTTACAAAACAAAAATGAACTTGGCTGAGATCCCAAACTAAGTTTCAAAAAAATTGGATATAAACAGTTTGAGTTATCGTAACCAAAAACTTTACAATAGAGATAACAACAAGGACTGGCATTTCCCTTCACCCTTTTGCTACCATATATTATTTAATGAAAACTTAATATATACCAGTTGAAATTGCTGACAGCAATAAGAGTTTCATGGTCAATGTTCATTAAAGCTATCATCTGAAGGCTATATGGTTTATATCACTTACAATTTGTTTACAGCTTACATTAATGGTGAATGAAATACTTTGCTTCAGACATTCCTAACTAATAATAGCCTATCATTATTCAAAAAGTGTCTTGATATGGTGTTGTAGAAAAATCATTATTCAAACAACAGAGACAGTAAGCATGTGATATAACTGAGCACAAAATCAATTTCTTAATTATTTATGCCAGTACCTCAAAGTACAAGGAGATTGTTATCTAAGATGGCCGATTAATACATTTTCTTTGGCAATGTTGGTACAACTTATCTACCTCTAAAAATAAGAAAATTCTCACACAAATTACTAACATAATATAAATAGTGATAAATTATAGAGTTATTATTAAAAAATAGAGAATTGATGGTCTTTTCTTCCATGGATTAAAACACCTATAAATTCAACTAATAGGTTCATAGCTTGACAATAGAATAGACATTCACAACTATCGGGCTCCAATACGTATAAATAAAATATGTATAAATAAATCAACCAGAACTCAACAAAGTCAGAGCAATATTAACAGTTTCTTATAGGGGAAAATAAGTGGAGGAAACACACTGGAAAAAATAATAAAACTAAAATAAAAGAACTAAAATATCTAAACATAGTTTTATTTTATTAGATACTTACATTATTTACTTTACAGAATTTACAATTCCAGGATTGGGAGAGACAGACACTTAGTAAGATCAGTAATTTATCCAGGAATTTCTTCAGTCAATCTATAATATCAACATTCTGACATAATTCCACAGGACGCCTTGCTAGACAATGATGTAAACTTCAGTGTTCAGCATCTGCCTTCAAAAACAAAATAAGAAACTAATAAATCAAATTAAGAGGATGTGATTAAGTGAGCAACAAATTGTGAACAGCTGAGGAGACACAATAGATACAGCATCAAATGGAAGAGTCATCAAGTAAGAGACAGACAGTCAGACAGACAGATGAGGCTACCATAGAGAAGCAACATTCTGTGAGTCATAAGCATGTGACTATGCAGATGTTAACCCCATATCGGCAAACTGCCATCATTTCTTGGCATCACTGAAGAAAGTAACTGTTCCTCACAAATGTCACAGTTCAGACATGTACATTCAAATCTGGCCTGTATTCAATTTCAAATAAAAATAATCTTCCGACGACTTTGAACTTTGATTTTGTTTGAAATGGCAAAATTAATATCCCTAACTGTATCTATAAGTGTAGATATGTACCTACGGGGTTTGAAGACTACTTATACATAACTTCCTTTAAGTTGAGTTTGTCTTTTGAAAAACAGCGAAATAAGTCATCCGACTCGACTCAAGTTGGAGTGAAATAACTTTTCAATGAAACTATTAAAACTTTTCAAAAACCCCAAACTTACCTAAGCATTCTGATCATACCCCTCCCCAATCTGGATTAGCAAGCGACGGACTGCGCGGCACTCGGTGTTCTGAAAGGGATCTACAAAAAAAGAATTCACAAAATAGCTGTGGCGCAGATAACCAGTGAGATATGTGTCCTTGTCAAGTCTCCAATTCCGAACTCACTGGGGCCCAGTAAAATAAAAGGGGGATTGAATATGCAATTAACTCACTCGTGGTTTTATCTTGCTGAATAATGAATCGCTGCTGTCCGAAAAAGGAGTTGATTGAAACTTAACACCGATGTGATAGACTGACGTCACTAGTGGTTGCTTGGAGTAATGTTTAATATTTATAGGAGGCGTTCAAATCGACATATGATTCGACGTTCCGTTTTAGAATACATTTGTGAACGTCCGTCGTCATAGGAAACACTCACTGAAGCCTAATATCTTATTACTACTATGTTTTACTGCCAACAACCAAAATATACCCCTCATCATGAGAGCGTTTTGCTGTTTTGAACGTGTTTTGAGCATCGCGCAAAGGCATAAAGCAGACGAAAACAACCCTCTTCGATGATGACCTTTAACCTGGCAGTGCATGATGGGTATTTCACATTAGTTAAACCTTGCCGGTTTTTTAAGCAATATTTATTCATCTCAGTATTCAACGATATGCACGTGTAACTCAATAATGATAGAAGACTTTATTTACGGGTATTTAAATCAAAAGCACTCGTATTTCATTGGTTAACAAGTAACAAACAAACACACTCCAGTGGTGACGAATCTATTTACGTTTGTTGATTAGAACCGTTTTGTTGTTGTGAGATTTGTTGTTTGTATCCTGGTATTTATAATTTCCGACTTTATTCGACAGGTAGGTAAAACTTTAATCATTTAGTTCTTCAGGCCTCATTGCAGTGTGTTTGTTAATATTGTACAACTTTGCCATACCAAATCAGTCTGTGAAATCGGACTAGGCCGGCCTATTGTCAAAGCGGTTCATACCCTATGTTCCGAAATCCCCATGTTCCGAAATCCCCATGTTCCGAAATCCCTATGTTCCGAAAAATGAAAAAAAAAAAAAAATTACATGATAATTAAAACACCACAACGATCGGTCACTACTGAGGGCAGACTGGATATTAACGGGTTACCGATAGAGGGCGTATATGTCGTCAATTACCTTAGCGTCTCTATTGACCAGAATATGGAAAGCTCACATTGATAAAATTTGCAAAGTTATTGCACCAAAAATTGGATTAATTTCACAACTACGTCATTTTGTACCTAGAAAAATTCTACCACACATTACATATTACCTCGAAATCTGGGGTAATACATATGCTACTCTACTTCAACAAATATATCTCTTACAGAAAAAAATAGTATGCCTCATCACTTTCTCTGATTCGTATTCCATGCTGCTCCTCTTTTCAAAAAACTTAGAATACTAGACATTTTTTTCACTTTGCAAGTTACACACCTGTTTATTTGTCTTTGATCTCAGCAATAAATATTTTGTACATGATATTTACAATTATTTGGACCCATTGTCCCATAATTATCAAACCCCTTTAGCTTGAATTATTATTCTCCAAAACTGAATCTTACACTCAACCAACACAATCTAAAATACTCTGCAACAAAACATTGGAACTCATTGCCTGATGAATTTAAAACCATCACTAAAAGACATATATTTAAAGCAAACATTCAAAATTAAAATAAAAAGAGAACATATTTTGATATTCTAAACATTTAATTATAGTGATCAATAAAATAAAATACTCTAAAGAGAAAAAACGACAAATCACAGTAACTAAATTAATGCTGACTTTCTGTTGAAAAGGATAAGTGCGTGAATGGTGGCGTTTGATGGGATAGCCGGTAGGCGATCAGCTGCGATAAAAAACATGAACGTGAAGCTAACGTCAATTTATAACTAAATGGGCCCCGTATACGAAGTTCACAAACAAATTATTCAGTCTTTAGAAGTCACTTAGTTTATTACTAGGATATATTCTGCTGTTACAATTATTATTTTCGACCGTTTTGTGATAGTATTTTCTAGAATGAAGGCATTTACAGTTCATTGGAAGTTCAAAGTTGTGTTGGGATTACGTTCATACAGTGTAACAATGTCAACGCCGGTGATCGCTTACCAGTGCGCAACGTAGCCAAAATAAAAAGCATGATCATTTGAACACTGCTATTACAAAACTGGTAGGAGGTAATAAATTTGGGGCGAAAGTATTAAAAAATCAGTTTTTGGCTGTTGCAATGGCAGTGGTGGGCCAGGATTTTTTTTCCAATTAGTGACGGTAATGATCCACCTGTCAAGTATGAACAAAATCAGCCAAGCCAAAAAAATCACAGAAGAATTAATACGTGAAAACACTGGAAATCACACACACACACAAGTGATTTTAAGGGCAATCCTGACGGAGTGGATCGCCAACAAATTCAGAGTGGATTCGAGCAAAGATAATACATTTTTTTTTACTTTTTTTTGGTATTGAGAAATCGGCACTGGCTATATTTGAGGAAATATGAGGGAATCATGTCAAACTGTCGCGCCATATCTACGTGCCGTCTATTAAGCATCTGTAAAAATAAGAGTGAAAGTTTAAAATGCAGAACATAGTGAGCATCAAACAGTAGTTTCGCCCACGTGCGCTTTCAGTTTTCATCGGCGTCAAATTGACAACCCTCTGCTTAATTGAAAACTATGTTTGCGACTCTGCGCTACGGTCATATGGTAACTGTCAAGAAGAAATTTCTCCACATCTCTTTGATTGTTTCTGCATACGGATGCCTGTTGTCGTTAAGGGCCATGGCGTTTCTCCAGCCAGGATTGAGGGGCTATACACAATGGATACAGGTACCAAAAGAACAAGGTCTGGAAACAGAAGATTTTCTGGAGGTGCTGGAGACCAACGTGCAAAGCTGGATTGCAGACACTACTGTTCGACGAAAGAGCGGCGCGGCCAAGAATACAAGTGATTGATGTAAGTACAATGTACATTTACAATTGGCACTTAGAATCATAGTTAATGTAACATCAAATTTTAATGCATCCCTGGAAGATGTCTTGCTCTTACGTTCTCATCCTTTTGGGAAGGGTGCGAGATTTGTTAACACTAGCTATTGGTAGTAGTTAAGAAGACACTATAGGTACGACCATGAGGGCGCTGTTCATATTGAGACACGATGATGTCACACAGGGTGGGATGACATCACAATGGGGATTCGTGCATAAATTAGCATAAATGAGCGACCATGGTCGTAAAGGGTTCATTTTAATAAGGATGACGTCACAATTGGATACTGTGAATACATGTGGATACATAAAATGTATGAGGTAATGAGGTCATCGTGAATACATTTGCATAAATTACCATCAATTTTTTTTTTAATTATTTTTAGGGGCCCAAGCCTGTAGGGCGTGGCCCCTATTTTTATTGTCCGGTTTTTAGGGCCCCAAGCCCAAAGGGCAAAGCCCTTTTATTATCGTCCGTTTTTATCTTCTTTCTTTCTTCCTTAACTTTTTTCGTCAAGCCGTTTGAGAAAACCGCTGAACAGAATGGTCTGAAAATTCTCTATAATGATAGCCCCTTATGTGAACTGGTGCAACATGCTTTCAGAATTTTGATTGGTCAATTAGTTTGGCTGCCATATTTTATTGAAATAAAACCGGAAGTGGCTGTTTGACCACTTTCTGAGGGTCTAGGCGTCTAGATTTTTTTATGGTATATAGTACAACTCATGTGTAATAGATATCAGCAATAAAAACTTTAGCGGTCAAGTGACTTTCCACGCCATTTTGTTTTTCCTAAAAAACGCAAAAAACACTTAAAAATCTTCTTCAGAACCACCGAGTACATATGAGAAAAATAATATATTTCCGATAAGTCGCGTGGTTTGGCCGCCATCTTGGATTTTGTGAAAATAGAAATTATGCAACTACATGTTTTGTATTAGTCTGATTTCTTTCAAATTTTGTATGTGCATTTGTGTGATCAGATACATCATTTCGCCCCAATAGCACACTGCTAGGGCACTTGGCCGGGCACCCATGGGGTGGGGGGCATCTAACCTAATTAATATGCATAACTGATATATCTCAAGCACTGTTGCAGTTAGGAAGATGAATCTTGTGTTACTATGACAACATTGAACAAGAGATTTGATTAAAATAACAGATGACCATATATGGTCATGTGAGCTCATTAGTATACATAACCTTTATATCTCAAACAAATATATGGAACCAACTGCATTTCGACCTCATGGTACTAATCATTCAAACTAACCAATTGTGTATCATGTGAATCATTCGATCTCATTATTTATGGAATATATGTTTGAAAGCTTGGGCCCCTGTGACGCTGCTTGCAGCTTTAATTTTAATTATTTTTAATTGGACGAGCATGGACGTCGCAAAAGATTTTCAGAATGTATCGTAAAGGGCGCTCACACACACACGCAGACACGCTAATAAATACACATCATTTTTAAATGTTTATTACACAAAAGATGGGTAAAACTACTAAGATCAGTGACATGGAATATACATTTTTTTTGTTTTGTTTTTTCAGTAAATAATCAAAAAAGAATGGTTTAAAAAACTGAGTAATATAAGAATAAGAATGATATTATTGGTAATATTTAATAACAGTAATAATAATAATAATTTATTTACCTAGAAAATATTTCATACAATACTCAAAATTGTACATGCAGTCTAGGTAAAATGGAAATAGCTTAAAAGCTAGTCGAGTCAGATCCCTGACATAACTTGAATTTAATAACTTAAGTTAAAACTGACATTAGGTTACACCTCAGTATATTTCAAATAAACAAATATGATAATATAATAATATATATATATATATATGTATATACATACATTTATAATAAATATTAGTTCTATTCTAAATACTCTGACATTAAATTTTCCCGTATAGTATTTTTGAATGTAAGTTTTTGTTTAGACCTTAAAGAAATTGATATGCTGTTCCAAAGTTTGGCCCCTAAATAAGATATTGCAAATGTCCCCGCTACTGTGCTCATTCTAGGTACAAGTAAATCATTTCGACATCTTTGTCGTGTTCTATATTTATGATGTAAATACTGCAAATTATATGTTGACATTGATTGTGGGAGATTCTCATGAATTATATCATACATAAAACTTAAAAGTAATGACTTATCAAGTTTAAAAATATCAAGAATTTGGAGAGTATTAAAAATTGGTGGAGCATGCACAGTAAAGTCGGAAAACGTTATAATTCTGGCTATAATTTTTTGTGCGGTATGTATAACTTTAAGATTTGACGGGTATGTACATGTACTACCCCAAACTTTTAAACCATAGGTGATATGAGGCTGAATCAACGTTTTGTATAACAAAAGGAGAATATGCCGTGGGACATAATGTCTTAATTTTAAAAGAATACCCTTATATGCTTATTCTATATTTGCTGTTGTATAATGTCAAAGAGTTTACGGCCATGGTCGCTTATTTATGCTAATTTATGCACGAATTCAAATTGTGACTCTGTCCCACCCCTTATGACGTCATCACGTCCCAATCTGAACAGCGCCCTCATGGTCATACCTATAGTGTCTTCTTAACTACTATTGGTTCTCTGTCTTTGTATAGAAAACCCGGAAACTTTAGAAGAAGTTTTTACTGGTATGCGACCAGAAATCGATGAAATTTTAAGGAATGTAACCAAAAACACTAGGCCTTAGGAATATCGCCTAAACTTTTAACATACACGTAACAAATTTGAAACTGTATTTGGTCAAGAAAAATATCTAAACATTGTTGACAATATATCAATCATAACTTGTCTTTGTAAATCTCTG